AAATTGTTTAGTCAAAATTAATCCTGCTCTAGTGGTCATTTATTCTGCATTTATTTTACATAGTCTCATAGGAACACACTTGCAACATACATATTTTTAACAAAGCCTTTCCAAAATATTGGGGCAAAATATTTCAATTTATATTGTGAATCATGAAATGATGGGTTAGATGAGTGATCTAGGGCCATCTTAGTGGCCCTATTTTTTATTATGAAGAAAAAAAGCTAAAACAATCAGTGTTGTGAAAGTATATTACTAGAGGGGCAAGTTAAAGTTAAGCTGAACTTGCCGAAAGAGCTGGACTTGCCTTTCAGCAAATTCTTTTAAAAAATAATTTCCAACACTGTAAAGCCGTTGTTTCTGGTGAGCGACTCAGGGCCATTATGACCCTCTTGTTTTGTTTTGGAAAATCAATTCTGTGTTGTTTTAAAGCCACTGACCTCCAGATGGTAAAATGAAAAAATGAAATAAAAATTCAAGTAAACAGTAAATACTGATCTAGTTAGGTTTATTGTATAAATCCAACATCAAGAAAGAATGTTGACAAAGCGTTAATATATCGGGTTTTTCTTTTCCATAATCTACTACGTTACTAACGCAGTAGCCAATATAAATTGGAGAAGATAATTCATTTAACGCGGTCACTTGTCACAACAGTGGTCCGGAAAATCCCGATATCCGGTATGCCTTTGATCGATTATCAATTTTCGTCATTGAGTAGGCCCCTATCACATTTCAAGCTTAAGGTTAAATTGATAAATTGGTCATCATATATCAATGGTAGGATACTACGTCATCGCGCACCTGCTGAATGCTCCCACTTGGACCATTTTTTCGTCGACTCAAAGGTAAAATACAATTTTATTATAAGAAAACGTAAGGGTATTAAAAAATCATGTAGCGCACCAAAGAATGGCTATAGTACTTGAGATAATTGTAAAAAAAGTTTATAGATTTATTGCCTGGTTTAGGCCTGAAAACGGGATAAGTGTTTTTCTCTGAATGCTCCCACTCGGACTTCTCCCGAAACATATATGAAATAAGGTTGAAAACCTTCTTTAAAATTATTTTTAACGTACCGGAACATAAACCGAGTCATGTATACCCATTATTTTATATTAGTTTCAAATGTTTCTATTCAAAAGTCAGTTTTTCTTAATTCTTTTTATAAAAATGGAAAATGCTCCCACTCGGACTCAACTTCAGAGATGCTCCCACTCGGACCTAAATATATACAAATTTTGAAAGCACATTGCTGTCTCAAGATATTATTATTTTTTTCAAAATATCTTTATATTCACATTCATATATTCATATAATCAGTAAGAATTCAATGAAACGGCATTTTTAAAATACGATACTAATATTTAAATTACTAAACAGTCTCGTAAATATGTCTTCTTAGAGGATTAGTATAAGGGAAAAAAAGTTGTGTTGAAACAATTCCTCGTTTAGAAGAGTCGCTTAAATAAGAAACAAATTGTTTATACATTTTAAAAATATAATAACGTTTTGTTTTGCAGAAAGTATTTGTATTTGTGACCAGTATGGGAAAAGGTATAAACCACATTGCGACGTAAGGAAGCACATGGCAGGACATCTTGGCACGGTCAAGCTGGAGCAAATATTTTAGATACCAACTGTGGATATATCTCATTGAGGAGGAATACTCTAGAAAACACAAGAATAATAGTTCTTTGAAGTAATTGTCTTTTGTTAAGTTTTTGCGTTAATTTTTGGACAATGTGTCATAATCAATTCATCTGAAATTTCACCACTGGAGGATAGATTTCAATAAAGTAAAATACCGCGAACAAGAATGACAACTCTCCAGTTTTGGAGTTATTGCTCTTTGTATTCACTATCATTAGTTTGCAAGGACCATACCTCTAAAGGTATTTTAGATATAAACTTAAAACTTTATATTGAACATGTTTAATAGAAGTGAATAGCAGAGCATAAGGACCAGAAGTGTTCACTTAATGCTTCTTTGTTGTTTTACTTTGTTTTTTTCATTGGAGTGTTATTTTTGTCATGATTTATTATGTCTAGGCTATAACTTTTCATTAATTTTCACGAGTATCATTACTTGGATTTTTTACACGTATGTAAGGGTTACTTCCCCCTTTGAAATGTACTTCCTCCTTATGGCGGGGGATTTTGCTGTCTGTGATTCCTTCTTGTATTATTGTTATTATTTTAACGTCATTCAAATATCCTGAAATCATTTTTCTATGATTTTATTCATAAATATAATGCTTAAATGAAGATTTATCAATATTGTATGTCCCGAAAAGCATTATTTGTAAATATAATACCGAATTTACATTTCATAAAGGGAGGTAATTAGAAATATATTTTCCATTAAGTGTAAGTTGAATCTTTCAAAAGGAAATGAATGCATTATGCATACATGTATATTTTAATGATCACATATATTTTGGACAAGCATTTGCAGTACGTATTTTACATATTCCTTTATGTTTGAAAATTGTTTAAGTACCATAAATATTAATACATTTAATTTATAGACAATTTCAATTGGTAACAGCCTGAAATATAACTTTCATGATCTTTGATTACCAAAATATGGTAAAGACTGTGATAAAGAAATAACTATGAACTTTGTTATCTTTTTTTTTTATCTTTTTATTTAGGTAAAAATACGAACACATGATAACTTTCATACTTAAAATTGTCAAAGTTGTTAATAATTGTGACGCCGTAGTATGGCAGTACATTGACTTTTTAACCAGTTCATGACAAAAATGATTTACATGTTGTTCTTTAATAAACTATTCAAATCAACCGATAGATATTGACTTCTTTATGTTCATAAACGTACCATTATGCTGTTTTAAAACCTAAATCACAAGTTTAACAAACATGCAAACCAATGGGTTTTAAATTATTAACAAGATATTAAAGTCAGCAATTATTGAATAAATGCTGGCCTCTATAATGTGCACGAGTCCAGCAATCCGGTATGGTACTAAACAATGAAAAATGACTTCTTTGTAAAACACCACAATTTTTTAACTTCTAAACAAAACTTTATTCTTGAGATCCAAACTGCCCATTTAAAGTCTTATAGTCCTAGCTTGTTTTTGGCAATAATTTTGAATTATCCCTTCGGATGCAACACAAGCCAAGTGCACCTTTTTGTATAGTGATCCTGTCAGTTGAAACTTTGCCATGGCACCTTGTTCCTGCCCAACGACGTCATTCTACAGAATCAAAGAAGTGGTCCCTGTAAAAAGAATGAAAAGTTAATGTTGCCAAACACAGAAGTTATTGACAAAATGGTGTTAAAATTGTGAGAATAATCCATAAAAGCTAACAAAGCAATGTGCTTTCAAAATGTATAAATTTGGGTCCGAGTGGGAGCATCTCTGAAATCGAGTCCGAGTGGGAGCACTTTCATTTTCATAAAAAAAAAACTTTAAAAGACTGACTTTTGAATAGAAATATTTGAAACTAATAAAGAATAATGGGTATACATGACTCGGTTTATGTTCCGATACGTTAAAAATAATTTTAAAGAAGGTTTTCAACCTTATTTCATATATGTTTCGGGAGAAGTCCGAGTGGGAGCATTCAGAGAAAAACACTTATCCCGTTTTCAGGCCTAAACCAGGCAATAAATCTATAAACTTTTTTTACAATTATCTCAAGTACTATAGCCATTCTTTGGTGCGCTACATGATTTTTTAATACTCTTACGTTTTCTTATAATAAAATTGTATTTTACCTTCGAGTCGACGAAAAAATGGTCCAAGTGGGAGTATTTAGCAGGTGCGCGATGACGTAGTATCCTACCATTGTATATATTAAATAATTAATCAATTATAATTTTAGGGCCATGAATAACTACAAATATAAAAACATAAGCAATTATTGGTATCCCTATATGTTTGATAAAATCCCGGATTCCGTGCGTTCCGGAGCACAGGTCGCGATATTGTCCTGTACGATCACGTGATACTAGAAAAAACCCGGATGAAAGAATTCCTTGGTATAGTAAAAGAAGGTATTTCCCGTTGTTGGAAAAGCGAACCGTTTGTTTTCAGAGCAATAGTGTTAAAATATGAACATTTTGAAGTGTCATTTTCTTTCAACAATGTTTTTGAGGGGGGATTTGAAATATTAGCAAGACGGCAGTTTTTCTGCTATCTTCTGGAGGTCAGCTGCTTTAAACTAAGTATTTCAGTAAAATTAACTTAGACAAGTGCATCATATCACAGTAAGGCCTTCCTGAAACAGCGTCCAGATAGCTATTTATAACGCGTGAGTGACGTTCGTTTCTAAACATAGAAGATCGGGAAGCGACTCGTCCGCTTTACTGATTTAAAGCAGCATGCCTAGATTCATGTTACTTTTCATGAAAATTTTGAAAATGTATTTAAAAGTAAAATATTGTGAAGTGAACAAAGAAAGTAATTCACACATTGCAAACGGCACTTACAATCCACTTCCATAACCAAACAAAAAGACATCAAAATATACATTAATACCTCTTACTGCATTACTAACGCAATTGAATTATAGTGATTGATAATGCAAAATCATTAATAGCACATAACATTTTTCTAACGATTTATTTTTTTTTAAATATTTTGGCTGGTTCTGGAGGTGTGCAGCTTTAAATACAGAGAGCTGACCGGCAGCTCTAGGTATCGCGGAGTTTACACGTTGTTTATGTATTGCATCTTCGGCAAAAATTGTTCCACCTTAATTATTTCATATGACAATTATATATGAAACGATTTATCTAAAACAATAACATATTTCACCTTAAGCTTAAGGCCGCTTTAATTTACAGCGAATCAGTTCCACTGACAATTTAATGAATTAAATGCATAATTTACATTAACACAAATTTTTAACAGTATTTTACTTACCACAGCGTCTAACAGTTTTTGAATAAATGTACGTCTGGCTGAGATAAGTACGTTATCGGTAAAATATTAGATCCTTAGACAGCTAAATATGTGTGGTGAATTGTTAGTTACTAGATATATAGCTGCTAGAACTAACTCTATTATTATAAGACCGTCTTTTCATGTGTGAAAACGTTTTACTTTTTGTGCAGATTAACGGTGAGACTTGTGTTGATTTTTGAAGTGTTAACAAAACCAATTATAGTTTATTGAAATGCATATACTTTATGTGAACGTTGTAATTGCTTTATTGTACAACTCTTCAAAAAATAAATTTGAATAAAACAAAATAACATTGGATTTATTTGTAAATAAAAAGTGCGTTTGTACTGATCATTGGCTTTCTGATTATGCAATTATAATAATTAAGTGTCATTCGTGTATCTTAACAGGCGATTGAAGACGAAGCGCATTTAAAATTCTGGAATCTCCGCAAAGGAATCTTATATGGAATACATGTCTGAGAAAGTTGAGGTCATTACTGGGGAAACTGACGTAGTGACAATACACGAGGGATTCGGGAAATGAAGAGCGTTCTATAAGGAGATAATAGCCAGTTTGACAATGCTACAGTTATATCGGAGACACATTATTGTTTCTCGGAAACAGTGGTTTGCTACTTGATTAGGTAGGGGAGATTTACGATGTGGATATATACAGTTCTATTGCAGCTATATTTTACCCTGTTGGAGTTAACTAATTGCGTAAGTAACGAAAATATTGTTTTTGTATTTTTATTTTGACATTCTAAATAATTATATTGACATTATGAGTAATTTTGAAGTTGTTGTTGTTTTTTAACAACACAAACGCGTAAATATGGCCACAAATACGGAAAAATTATATGCAAAAACCAATTTCTGAAGAATTTATAATTCAATGAAGTGAATGTGTGTTATAATTTTTTTTTATTTTTAAATCAATATAATTGACATAAAAACAAACTGTCATGAAAACATTCACAAAGTACAATTTTAATGAATAAAACTAAATCACGAAAGCATTTCAGAATTACTCAAAACATTATCTCTATTAAATTATGTATATTAATCATAATTAATCACGTTATGTTAGTTTATGAACTTTTTAATAAATTAAATGCTAATTTCATCTTTTAAGGAACTAAAATAACCAAATTTATAGAAACATTTATAAATTCAAACTTGTAAATCATATTATTCATTATTACTATAAATTCTTGTCAAAAAATACCTAAAACGTAAATGACATCAAAAGTCAATAACATTTATTATGTTTTTAACTTCAATTTAGAATAACCAGTTAGCCAAGCTATGTTATGTAAATGGGTTTTTTTCTAGTAATACTAATTTCATCTTTAAGGGAAAAGAAATGAAAATTCAAACATGTATGCATTCACATTAGTAAATCATATTATTCGATATTACTCTAAATGCTCATCAAACATATAAAAACGTAAATAACAACAAAAGTCGATAGTTATTTATACCGTTTTTAACTTCCATTTTCTGATTTTTCTATGCTAATGTTATCTTAAAAGGGAAAATAAATAACAAATTCAAACATATATAAATTCACACTCGTACATCTTACCACTAACTTAAGTATAAATTCTTGTCAAAAATACAAATAACAACAAAAGTCGATTATTATAAATTTTCGTCAAAAATATAAATATGTAAGTAACAAGTCGATAATTATTATGTTTTTAATTTCCATTTATAATAAACAAGCTCAGTATAAATCAATTTTCATATCTGAAACAAATCCCGACGCTCTGTAATTTTTTTTACCAGAGAGAACTATCAAAACAACAGGCCGATTGTTTATGACTTGTTGCACTGTCTGCCTATGAACATCCTTGGAACAATTTTGTAATAAAACAAAATATGAAATGTATTTTGAACAATAATAGTGTCTGAACTTCATATGCTCAGGATGATTTCTTTGGAGTCTAGGCATCTCTTAGCTCCAGCAGATGAGGTGGTTTTTGTCCCTGGTTTTGCTTTATGTTTGTGACAATACGATCAGCCAAAATTATCTTTCTGTTTCGGGGCCATATGACTTTAATAAAACCAAACAAAGAGTTAAAAGTAAAACTTTTCATTGATTGAACTTAAATTCTCACTTCTATACTAAAAGGACAGATAAATAAACAAAAGTATAAGACTAGTTTACTGTTCATAAAAATACATTACAAACACTTGATAAAATTCTAGAAGGTGCTTCATTTACTTATATTGAATTTTCATGTGAACGCGAGAACTTTGTTTTGAATATTTTACTTGACCAAGACTAGTAAACCTTTCTTACACACTACATCTAAAGCAGAAAACTTACAGTAGAAAGTGATTTCACAGAGATTTTAGCTGTGTAGTAAAACTGTGTTTTGGACAAGAGCAAATCTGCAAATTATGTATTTGTTTATTAAGATAAGAAAAAGATAAAGGATATTAACCTTGTTCTTTTGAATCGATATTTTTTTCAAGAATGACATATTCAGATCATAAGATTTCAAACAATTGACGTTATCATAATTCAAACATGTTTAAAATTTAATTGATTCATATTCTTTGATGCTGGTATTCTCAAAGAAAAACAATTTGATGTAACATGTCAATATCTTTCCGAAGATTTTTTATAAAATTTAATGTATGTAAACAGTATACTGAAATGCTGACGCTTCCAAAATAAACCATAACATAAAGGGTTAGCAATGAAATAAAGCAAACTAAAATAACTTAGCATTGTTTTTACAGACTTATTGACAACATTAGCCTTCTTTTAGGTTTTTTGTTTGTTTTCGTGGATTTTGCCTATTGTCTATTATCAGCAATACCTATATTTTCTTTACATGTTTACTAAGTTAGCCGACGAAATTGTTAAAAATCAATCTGCACCGAATATGTCAAGCATTATGAAAATTTATGAACTTTTACTAAAATATTGAAACCAAACTCTGTAATTGATCAATAAATATAGCAGTACATTACACAATGTCTGATGAAAATTCTCTCTTTATAATTTACGAATGTTTAAAACCGTACGAGAAAAATAATCTGGCAGTTTTTTTGTCGCCGTAAATAAATTATACAAATAGAGTATTATATTCTAACAATATCAAATCGATTAGCAGCCGACAGTTATATGAATTTCAAGTGTTAATCGCAGCATGCCAAATGCATTCATACTACTCATTTATTAAAGTTCTTTATTTAACAGTTCTAATTTTGCAATAATCAATTAGTTGAATGAATTGGTGGCTATATTGATATAATCTACTGCTGCTTCTTTTATTTTTGTTGAATCCATCTCATCCTGCAACTGCTGAGTAAACTGTTTTATCAAATTTTACGGGTAGAATATTGTCTCTTCTTAAACACTGGATGAACTTTTAATCGTACCGCATGCAGTTTGAAAATCGTGTTTTTTTTTTCTTTTTAAAAATTGGTAAAACATTTAAGGAATAGGTTATCTGAAACCAATTATGAACATAGAATAAAATATTGATATTATTTACTACGATTTCATATTAAACTAATTACGTAAGCCGCGACTCAAACGTCAGTCAAAATGCATATTATTTATTATTAATCACTATTATGCTCATCATTCGACAAAGCCATGTGTGTTGCTTCTTTAAGTCATACCCTGCTAGACAAACATTCATTTGTTTTTGTAATCCCCGACAGTGACTTGGATTCTTTTATGTGAGGAAGCTATCCAGCTAGCTTACGGAACGTCGGTGGTTCTACTCAAGTGCCCGTTCGTGCCTGAAATAATGCACGAAGGGGCACCTGAGGTCTTCCTCCACCAGTTAAGCTGGAACGTCGCGATATGACCTATATTGTGTCGATGTGACGTAAAACCCAATCAAAACAAACAAAATTTGTTTTGTCACAGGTCAATCAAATACATGACTGTTACAAGCCCTATTCTGTACTATTTTATGTTTATAACCCCAAACTGACCCTGGACAGTTCCAACAATTGAGACTTGACAATTATTTGATGAATTCAACAATAAGATTGTCCAAATGTATAATTATGGTTTTTGCACTGTTGACAATATAAAAGAAACAATAGACATACGTAAAAAATTTAAAGAGTATCACTTCTCATTTTTTGCTAACATTTAAACGAAGTAATACTACATGTATAAGAATTTCGTTTAATTTTATTCCTATTTGATAAATTGTATAAATCCTTAAAATAATTCTACCGCTCGTTTGTCCATAGAAGTAATGCAACCTAGGGGTTTTTTATCCATACTAAAATAATTTTATATAGAGGAATGATTCTTTCCAAGTAAAGTGTCAAAATTTCATTCGGTATAAATGGTTCCATTCATTGGTAATCCATTGGGAGTATTCAAATAACTTCATAGATAATTTGGTTGGATCGCCGAACGAGAGTTAATCATCCACTTCATAATTAATATCGATGTCTCATTGTTTATTTTGCGAGGAAATTGCAGAATAAATGTTCCACCAGAAATATTGAATGTATTCCAGAGGTTTTTTTCTTATTGAATTTCACCGAATGTCAACAGAAAAAAGCTATTATAGAGATTACTTCACAATGTGCCTGCAATATTAATGTCCATTATTATATTTACATTGTGACGGATTGCATTTAGATAATGGGTTTCTCCTTCTTTATTTGATTCATTCGATAAATGGATCATTCATCTTATTGAACATTAGCACTGACTAATTCCATTTTAGTAACTGTCATTTCCAATACATGTGACAGAGACAGATTTGACAACTTCCGAAACGCGTACAAATATTTCGTTTCAATTTCATTGATAGGCATATTATTTTGGCATGCTTGTTAATACTAAAATTCGACGAAAGGAGTTATATATTAATTCTATAGTTACGATTGTTTTCATAATGTAAAACTAAGCATATCTTTACGTTTCTTTGCGTATTAATACGAATTCAACGATTCGGACTTACTAAAGAAAAATAAAAAAAAGCATTGGTCTTCTATGAAACATAAGTTTGTTTAGAAAATAATTTCTCAGTGTATGATTATGATATCTAGATAAAGTTTGTTTTACTTTCAATATTGTTATTTTACTTTTATATGTCACTGAATATTTACCCTACAAAATGGTATATCAAAAATTGTATCGCAATAATAAAAAAACGACAATGGTTGTAAATGTATACTATATAAGTGCATTACGTTCTACATTATTAACCCCTTTCCTGCTACGTAAGTGAATTTTATTGACCAAGTTTTGTTTTGGTAACAGTCAATTCAGTGTTGAAGAGATTTCTATATCAATATACAAAACTCGAGATAACAACAGACGAACTGAGTCTGTCTGTTGGACTTGCTCTATTCTAGTGGTAAAGGCTAATTACCTTCTGTTACAGCAGGTTATGTGTTATATGTGTTATGTTTGTGGATTTTTTTTCGAGTCAAGAGAGATCATTTTATATAATAATTACTGTGTTAATATGAAATAACTTTTTGAAGATTTTTTTCCATTGAATAGGCTATCCTTCCATACGATGAATAAGAATCATATCGTTATGCATTAAATGAAACATTTGTCTTAATCCTAAATTTTAACCAAATATATGTATAAAATAAGGGTCAAACATGCATGCATCGCAGGCGTATTTCATATGAACGTTTTCTTTTTGAATTTGATTAAAAAATGAAGTGATACAATATACTTTTACAACATTAACTATTACAAAGCATAGCAAAACATTCAGAATTCATAAACTGAAGGATATGTCTTTGTATTGAAGGTAAAATGTTTTTTTGTTTCTTTAGGATATTCCTAAAATTTGCTGCAAGTTTATCTAATTGTATCTTTAACTTGTCTATAATAAGGGAGAATAAAGCTGTGATTGATAGCTCTCAGGGGAAATACATTCGTTATTGCGATGCTTATTTTCAACCAGATGACAGCTCAAAGTGTTCATACTATCAGAGAAATTCCTTTTCTGCAAGAACTTATACAAAATCACATTATTTTGTATGGAGCATATACACATCAATCTTTAAATATACATACTAATCTTAAAATATGTAATAATATGACATTCAGTTTGCTTTGATTCTGTTATATATTTTCAATTTGTTGCACCTAAAACAGTAGGCCATGTAAATAGATTTAAATTGATGCATTAAATGTACAAATTGTGTCATAATAAATGAAAATGTGTTCCAGATATTGATGTTAAGATTTAAAGCAACTGCAACTGTGTTTTGAAACACAATATCATTCTTGTGGACAACAATTTATCAGGAGTTAATGACTTACAAATATACTCAAAATATTTTTAAAGCAAAAACAAGCAAAACTCCGTACAATATGTTTCAATGATAACATTTATCAAATCTTTCAATAAATATGTTATAGTATATTTTTGTAATAGTTTGTATTTTTAATAATTTGAATAGAGCATTTTATAAAACTTTAGTTCTTAATTGCTGTTTATAATTGGATGTGTTGTAAATATACATTATTTTCTATTTCATTATAACATAATATTTTTTTATAGAAGATTTAGAAGAAAAAAAGGCTCATAGTATTAAAGGTATTGTATTTCTTTTCCTTTTTTGCATAATGAACGATAATTCTAAACATTTAATCTTATATTAAGTTGCAGATCCCGGATGTAACAGATTCCATTCAAAATAAGTGCTGTAATGGTATACTAGGATATGCTCGGCCATTCGAATACATGCCCTGCAACGAGATGAAATGTTGCAATGATACGGAGACAGTGGCCTTACAAAAAGTAAACCATGCTCTTGGATTCTGCTTTAGATGTGTGGTACGTATTTTGCCTTTTTCCTCTTGTACTTTTATAATGCAATCCATTCCTTACGAGCCTATGTTAAACAAACAAAGCTGAAGAACAATGAAATACATGACAATATTGAAATGTTTGACTGTTTAAAGCACGTATCTTGTTATCTTAAGGTATAAGAGGATATTTAAAAAAAACACAGAGTGGCAGTGCTTAGCACCGGATGGTTCTAGGAACGGTTTCAACTGTTACAGTAGTGTGTTTATACACTTACAGCTTGAAGCACAATCGTACTAAAATAAAAATATATATTAAGCTAAACCAACACAGTTCCATCAATACGCATTATATTTCATGTGAATAATTTTACACATAGAATGATATCTACCGATTAAAATAATTTCAATTTCTCTTCTCCTTAAAACACACTGCGCGCACAGGAGAAGAACACTTGCATTATGGATAAATTTACGCGAGCACCAACCGTTGTTGCTCGCTTGATTTTTAAAGAAATGACAAGGGCGCCATTTAAAAATAGCTTACTTTAATGACAGCCTCGGTAATTCCATTGTCAAAACATTACAGTCAAATAACACCGCACTAGCACATGAACATGGTAAAAATGCATAACGAAAACGGATCCTTAATACGAAAGGCAAATAGAGAAACGCATAATTGCCAAATCAGACGGATACTTCTATGCAAGAATAACGCAAATGCATGTTTTTTCTTGCACTGACATCAGCAGAAGCACTCGTATGTTTCAATCTCTTGCTATTTTGGCTCGGGCTTTTAATGTGTCTTCGTGCTTCTGCAAACAAGATGTATTTAACCACTCTAAGATGACCACTGATGTTTTCAAAGAAAATGTAACAGTAATATTTCAGCATACTTGAATTTTCTTGAATGTGTAAATAAATAAACATTGTACGATCCCAAAGCAGCACACCTTTTCATGTTCCAGTTATAAAATATAATTATAAACATATCAACTAAGATAACCTTAGCCCTTTATAAATGTAATGTAATGTAATGTAACTATTTCAGGCACAGACTACACCTGTCGGATGTTACTCACTGGGACAGGAAGTTGCTAGTACGAACGACACTACTATGGATTATAAATTACGAACTTGCTGCAGTGGCTTAAAATTTAAAGTGTTTACATACTTAAATGACGTAGCGATGACTATAAAATGTGTACATAGGTGACCAGAATGTTGTGATTTAGTTCTTTCTTAACAATGTTCTTAATAATAAAGAGTCCTACATGATTTTTGATAAGTAACGTGTAATTAAACCAAACAAGAGAAAACATGATTCATAATATACGTGAAAGATTTCTTAATTCTATGGAAGTGAAATTGTGAAAGTTATTTTTTTTTCAGTTAAAAAAATGAATGGATACAGTATATATCTTTTGAAATTAGGATACGTGTTAAAACAATTCTTAAGAAACCAATTTGTCTCAATTTGAATTTGGACATACTTATTCAACGGATAGATCTCTTCATAGGTACTCAATCACAAAAGACGTATCTGTTATTTGTTTACTTGTTCAAAACTGTTGTGCATATTCCCCCAAAACGCCTTGTCCTAATTGTTTCATTCTATCATTGTTTCGTGTTAACATATAATTGATCACATGGCTCTTGCATCAAGAAGCATACATATTGTATAAGAGAAGTTGAGTTTCTGGTTAACCAAAGCATCTCCTAGCCAAGCGGTAACGTTTATACATCAGTTTTGCATTATGCTATCAGATTTATGTACAAGTTTTCTGATATATATATATTCATAATGCTATAAAGACTATCGAAACAATAGGCTATCTGATTTGTACTTGTGGATGTACAAAAAGTAACCGTCTGAATATTACTTTTCTATCGATATCACTTTGATTGTGTTCACAATAAGAAAACCCACAGACATTTTAGCCAATCAACGAGCATGTTCTATTTCTTTCCACGACAGACAGTGCAGTAACTGGCATGAGGGTAATAAACACCTGCACTACGGTTAATGCACTGTGCATATATGTGTTTACGATTTTACTTTACACATTTTCAATAAAAAGGCCTCTAAACAAAACTATGGTACAACTCATAGAAATATCATGTAATGATTTGCTTTATTGTATGAAGATATCGGGCATATCATATGAACACAATAGTAATGTTAAATAGTTATAAAAAAAGAAATTATTTAATAGGTAAATCACTATTATAGTGGTCATTCTGCATTTAATAATATTAATGTTGTTTTCAGCTCGTGCCGTTTACATTTAAAACTTGTTTCGAAATATCTTTTAATATATAAGAATATCTGTAGACAAACTAAGCCAAGATGTTCCAGCTTAAGTTAGTAATGCAAAATAATTTATATTTTCTCAATTCTAGAGTTCCAACATGGCAATACACATCTTCCTATACTATGAACTTGCTGACAACGCATAAAATTTATTTAAAAATATGACTTTTTCAACTTTAGATTAACATAGGCGGCTTAATATTCACTTGTTGACAATGAATACGTTTAATTGCATGACTATTTCAACTTCAGATTAACATAGACAGGATAATATTTACTATACGTTTAATACCATGTATACTTCAACCTCAGATCCTAGTAATATCCTCAAGCTGACAACGCATACGTTTAATACCATGTATACTTCAACCTCAGATTAAAATAGACGGCTTAATATACGTTTGATTGCATGACTTTTTCAACCTAATATTAACACAGATGGCTTATTATTCTCGTGCTGTTATCATATACGTTTAATAGCATGACTATTTCAGATAAAAACAGGCGGCTTAGGAATACGCTAAAGTGAAATAAAATGACTGTTTCACCTTCATGTCAACAATAAAAAAAACGCCTTATAACTGAATTTTATTATGAAGCTGTTTCATCCTTACCACTTTTAATATAATATTTAATATATTTAATGATTTAGGCTGAACAATTCATCAGTTTAGGGGCAATAGTCGCAAGGGTAAAATTGATTGCCGTTAAAGGTTGAAATAAACAAAATTACTAATCAAATCGTCTGATCGGATAAAATATTCATTCATATGCTTCATTTTTTTAATAATAATTCAATTGCATGAAATAATTTTTTAAAAGATATTGATTTGATAGAATGATGCTAAAAACAGATATGCAGATATTACATGTATTAAGCAGTGCTCGAATTGGACGGGGTTTTATATGTCATGTGTGTCTGTTGTACAAATATTTATATAAAAATATTTTCGACTTGATTGTCTTTGAAGCATATGTTGTGATTTGTGTTTATCAATTATTCCTTATCTGTTTTGTAATAATTATTATGTGTTTTTGAAAGGATGGGTGTTTCTTATAAATTGATATCTGATGTGTCCTTTAATCATGATGACGAAATTGAAAGTTGTATGTTTGGTGTCCAGTACTTTCTATGACTATGACAATGTTCTAAGTAAGAATTTACTTTAACATATCAGTGTTTATTAAACTGTCATTAAATACTTGCATATTAAAATTTTAAAATAATGTTTGACTTCTTTTTATGTATTATAAAATGCCTTAATATTGAAAAGATAATATTGTATTTACCAGTATTTCATAAAATCAACCAGTCCTAGACATATTCGGTAAGAAACTTTAACATTAGCCTTGTATATCCATGACAAATGTAAAGGATAATGATTACTATACTCAAATTCAAATAAGTTAAAATATCATTACAAAATTCATGATTTTATCCAAACTATATAAATATCTACAAAGCCAATGTATGTAAATATGTTATTATGTATTTTACATTGAACTTATACAATTTGGATTTCTTTTAATATTTATGTTTTTACATCAACTTTAATCACAATTATACAAAGCAAATCAAATACAGACAAAATAACTGCATTTTAAATTATTTTTTAAGCAAATTGAACTGCTGGTATATGATAGATCGATCTATGTAACAGTACATTACAATATTCCGATCAAAATTGTCTATTTTCGGTCGTATTTAACCCCCCTGAGTAAATAATATCGAGCCTGGTAGTTATTTGACGCCAGATATAAAGAGAAAATAAACCGACAATAATTTTCTCACAATGTAATACCTATTTATAATCAATGAAAATAGAAATATAAAGCATTTACACAGCATGATAGTTCAAAATAGTGCATCAGTGCACTTTTTGTTAGTTCTGCGTCTTGTTGTTTTTATCGGTCAATTTAAAAGGTATAACTAAAAATAGTTGAATGGATTTTTATTACAAGATAATTTATGAAGATAAATATAGGGCTAAGCATAGAAGAATTCGATCAGAAGTGTTGTAATTATAAAATGTAAATACCTTATATGTCTCTATTAGCATGCTTAGTTATTTGCATATCAACTTATTGACTACTTACAATTTGGCAAAATTATCCCAAAATACACATATTTAATGACACTCTTGAATAGTTTGTCAATAATTCTAGTTAGATAAATGAAAAGGTATTAAGATCTGAGTTGAAGTAAAATTACATTCTTATCAGAATTAAAAAATACATATAAAAATGCTTTTACGTATATACCCCCATTTCCGAGTTAAAGCTTGAGAAAAAAATCTAATTGCATAAGCGTAACTTTTGTTTAAAATACACTTGTCAATGAATGTTTTCAAGAATTTCATGTTATGTCAAGGGAACAAAAACTATTATGGAGATTACTTAACAATGTGCTTGAACTATTATTGTCCATCATGTTTTCTTTACATAGTGAATGATTGCATATAGATAATGGAGTTCCTATTTAAGTCAATACATATTAATGGGTATTATGTTTTATCAAACATCAGTATTAAATAAACCATTTTGGTCACTGTCTTTTCTAAAACATCACTTTGAGTAAATTTGTTTTAGCACAATGAATGACAAGTTAACTTAGCTATCTTAAAAATATACTTTTCTTCTACTTTTTAGAATCAATATCAGACGTCTATTTTTAAAATATTTTTTTCCGAAGAAGAAAATATGCATACATTAAAATACTGAATATCAATGAATATCACAAAATTGTTCTTTCATATCAATTTTCAATTAAAATTTTTTCATGTTGAAAATCTTGGATGTAAATAGCATAGATGCAAATAGATTACTTTAAATAAACGTCACTGACGTACTTCAGAGTTTGGAAAAATCAAAAGAACTCAAATTAACCAACAAAATTAGACAAATTCTTATGAAAGAACAACCCAAGTGTTTGGAAGCATAATTATTTTGCTTAAAGCATTAATCATCCTTTTATTCTTTGTTTTTAAATCGAAATGTTTAACTCAGTGGTATGCTAACTATTGCATAGTTTGCTTTTATGTCACTAATTTAAACTTTTTAGACTGCAAATCGTACGTCCTTTTCTGATAAGTTCAAGAATACAATTGTCATTTATTGTTATAAAATATTATTCGTTATTGTATTGTAACTTTTTTGTAATGAATATTGTTTGATATTTCGGGGCGTTGATACTATCAAAATATTATATTGCGGTCTCTAGAATTGTCTGTGAAATCACCTTTTGGATAATTCATTGCATCTAAATAGGTAATTATTGATCAAGTCAAATCACCATATATATCAGGATAATGTATGGCAATTAAGTAGGCCATTAATCGATTCTGTGTTTAACGTCGCACTAACACGTTAAAAGTCATATGGCTACTTTCTAGCATTACTGGCTGAGGAAGACCCCCGGTGCATTATCTAAGGCACGAACTGACACCTAAGTAGAACCACCGACGTTCCGTAAGCCAATTGATAGCTTTCTTACATGAAAGAATATGAAGTCCCTTGCGGGATTCAAATCCACATAGGTATGGGGCAAGTGGCTTAAAGTCAACGACCTTAACCACTCAGTCACCATGCACTGTTAATTTAGTCAATTCACAAGGTATCAAATACTGCTAATAGATGATTCACCGAAGTTGAATAGGCATTAATTGATCAACAGTTTTATTTCCATGGCGCACTTGATAGCATTTGCAATGGCACATGGACATTATATTTTGTCTTTAAACCTTGCCAACTGAAGTTTATTATAAGAAGAACCGTATATCGAGTCATACACCTATTTATATTTCATGCAATAGACATTCTTATTATATTTGACAGAAAGAGTATATTTCTATTCAGAATAGTTCATTATTACACTCTCAGACATATTATAATACATTAAAATGACAAGATGTATAATAGATATTCGTACTTCATTTAATAAGATGATAGTCTTTAACAATGTTTAGGATATATTTTTTAAATTTGCCTCATATCAATGTGGTGTTCAAATTGTTTGATCGGACATTCCAGAACATAAACTTTATTTTTAATTTTTGCAATATTTTTATTTCCGCTATTAATCTATAACAAGTTTTTCTTTATTTATGAGTTCTGTAATATGTAATGGCTTTTTGATCTAACATGAATACATTATGGCACAAAAATTGCTTTAGGATTCGTTAACATTAATGTATGAAATTTTTAATAGATGTGTTATGATCTAATAATGTTTGTGAAGAGTATTCAAAGACAAATATACGATCACGAACAGTTAGTTAAAAAATATTACAACTTCTGAAGTTGAGATGATATCGAATGCTTTATAAAATTTGTTTTTAATTAAAATATTGACGACTTTAGACAACCAAAAGCACAGCATACATTTCAGTTAGTTTGTTGAGTATGAAATTTATAATCAGTTTCATATTACTTCAACACACAGCCTGTAAATAATTCATTCAAATCTACCTCTAAAATATAAACAGTGTACCTATTTAGGAATTTGATAGTGTATATTACATTTGACACTTATTTTTTCACTCAGAAATTTTCCTTGTTTTTTCGCTGTGTTCTACTCTTAAAAAGTCAATATCACAATCTTTAGATGGCCCTCTTATCGAAACGAACACATCAATGGCAACTCGCGTTAGTCAATATCATATTTTCATCTTCAGAAACCACAAATTGATTTACGTCAATTAAGTTTTAACCCGACAATTCGAAGAATAGATGGCTACTGTAATCACCCTGATGTCGATGTCGTCACACTTAGGTTAATTTTTGCGTGCAAGTGGATTTCTCAAAAACTGCCGAAGGAAATGGAATAAAGCTCCACGCACTTGTTCTCTATCATAATCTACGATGATGAATATCGGTCACGTAGGTCTGAATTATATTTTTATTAGCCCTTTGCTAAATGTTAAGCGAGTGCTTACATAAGGCAAACTTTTGTTTAATATGAAGAATTATAATTAGTGATGAAACTTACATTGCGATCTCTTGTTGAAAGGGTTTTATGAAAAGACCATAGTGTGCCGGTACATGTATTGTGCCGGTACATATTTATCGATTACTCATTTCGAAAGTAAGCTTATGTTGTTGGGGCCGTCATATCTATTTTAATTTTGAGCTGATTGCGAACTCAAGTAAAAATTAAGTCAACAAGATCTCATGTCATAAAATTTCATCTAAATTGTGAAATCCTTCAAATTGCTAATTAATAAACATGACAATTAATTATAAAATGTTTGATCAAACTGTTCTCTCTCATGGTTCTTTATTTGCCCTGTATTGAATGATATCACGTCTGGCAGTAATCTGTCGCCTCAATATAAGGGTGAAAACAGAATAATTATTCTTACAATACGAAATCAATTTAAATACGATGAGCGATGACAATGTACAGAATGAAGCACAGTTTGAGAACCTTCAGTCAGGGTTGTTGATTTAAGCGCAATGTCTTTATAATTTTAAAATAATCGATATTGCTCTATTAAAACTCTTTTTCAAAAACAAAAGGTTTCATAACAGGCCATTATTTAAGAAAATTATACCGCTAAGTAATTTTTGTAGAATTTGTCGAGTTTAATCTTTATTCATTTTTATGTAGGTCTCCTTTTTACATTGTAAACAAAAAACAGATCTTCTATGAGAGAGTTTAAGACGATACTGCACGTGTTGTTATTGCAAGTCATACTTAAGTGTAAAATATGCGGTGAATTAAAAATGAAATTTGTTATTTTTCCGTAATTCCATAAAGCCAATTTCAAGGATAAAAATCGTGAAATAATATTTAAATAAATGTGGATTGAATTTAATTCTATCAATCTATTTACAGTAAAAAGATTCCTTTCAAATAAAAGTGACAACGTTTTATATGATATAATTTGTTTTATTTATATTTTAATCTTTATAAATGTATTTTGAGCACAAGCATTTTTTACTTGGGAACCACATGTCGCTTTTCGTGGAATGATTCTAACGTATCAGATTGAAGGTTCCATGACCACGGCCGTATGAACACATCTACAGATTTGTTAAAAATTCAAAATGTCACCTGTTCGTTGTTTTAAATGTTGAATTCTGCTTTAGCCGGTGCTAGGGGGCGTGCACTTTTCAGTACTGTTTATGAACAGGCTCAATCAAACCGAGCCTGCAACAGTTTCAATTGTTCTGTTTTGGACATTCTTCAGGGATTCTATTACTCTCTACTTTCTATGTAT